GGCTCGTCTCCAACGTTCAGCATGTCGGTCATTTCAATGGTGTTGCACCGTGAATCCCAAAGTTTGTAAAAAATTAGCGTTTGTAAAATCGACGCGTTGAGCCTCTTCGTTTCAATGCAACTAGATAAGCGAGTATTATTGATCGGTGCGATAATGATGTAAGCCGTCCTTGCGTTATCTCTCTGAATATGCTCTGCTCCGTTCAACACAAGCATCTCACGCTGACACTCGCGTTATCGTTGTCACTATCATACGTGCAATCGGACGATATCTCCTTTCCTAAAAAATCGAGTAATCGTCCGTTCTGATCGACGACGCGTATCGTTAGATCCGTAACGCTCCGTGCGATGACTGGCAGGTAAATAATCTGCGCCGGCTTTTCCGATAGCTTATATCCCGGCGGCACGCTCGGCGAAAATTCGTGTATCGTGTGCGCGTTTTTGCCGTACGTTTTATGCGCCTGCGGTAACATTGCACTCCACACGGATAATGTTTACGTTTAATATGTTGATCGACTTATCCGATTCGTGTCATTGCCGCGGTTGTAGTATACGATTCAATGCAAATCCCAGTAGTGATCCAATATTGGGTTTGTAAAGTTTATTCTGTAGGCGCATTCGATCTCACATCTCATCGTGTTGTAGTTCGCACGGAGCACTATCAGGTCTTCCTTGTCCTTGCTGTCGCGCTCGATGTCGCCAGCGTTGCTCACCGGGCGTGTCGCGTCGCGGACGTTTCCATAAAATTTCACGTTTCAAAAAGTCATGTATGTCTCGCAATTCGTACGATCCCTTGGGAATCGTAATTTCCGCGTTTTTGTCGTTTTTGTCGAAGTAAAACTTATTGTTTGAAGAGTTCACGTTCGGTATCTTTTTAATTGATTAATTAATTAGCGATTAATTAATTAATCCCTTCTTCCACCCTTGACCTACATTCCCTCCTCCCCCTTGACCTTGACCTACTTTGTATCCCGATTATATACCCTATACTACAGAATCTTTATGTGCGATCGTAGTCTAATTGTAAGTTGCATTTGTCACAATTATACTGCAGGAATATACGTCCGTGTACGTCAGTATCTACACTGTTAGAAATTTCTATGGGAATTTTCAAATACATATGACTAAAGTTTTATGCAGTTACCATTTCTAAAATTTACGGAATTAAACGGAAATAAAAATTTCAGAAGCAGTAACTGCATAAAGCTTTAGTTACACACGTCTCTCAAAATTCCGTTATAGTTTAGTAATTTGCAGTAACTGTAACTGAAAATTAAAAAAAAAGTATAAAATTTTTCATCAGTTTATTAATTTTAACATATATGCAGATTATAATTACCTTGATACATAAAAACAGTAAGATAATGTGAGCGAGGTATGTTTATGCAAATAACTGCATATGTACGTGACGTGTGTTATATGGTATGCTCAATATATCAAATGTACAATTAAAAAGTATTTTATAATTATAGTTATAAAGAGTTATATTTGAGTGTCCATATACTTTTTGACTACACATTTGATATATTAAATATTATTATATAACACACGTATGCACTATTAAATCTATACTCATATCAAACTGAACCTTATTTAAGTCGCCACTGCTCTTATTTAATAAATAGTTCTTTTTTACTAAAACAATGGAGTTAAATAATTTAAAACAGTTCAAATTTAATCCAAATTTTGGTTAAATTCCATTGTTTTAGTTATAGAAATAACTATTTATTAAGTAGGAGCAATGGCGACTTAAATAAGGTTCAGTTTGACACTATAGATTTAACAGTGTGTACGCAATTATTTGCATAAGCATACTTTGCTCACATTATCTTATTATTTATATGCCAAAGTAATTATAAACCATATATATATATAAATATATATATATATATATGTTAAAATTAATAAACCGATAAAACATTTTTTTTTATCTCTTTTAATGCATTGAGAATACCGCATATAATTTATACGCACCTAGTTATTTGTATAAACATTCTTTGCTCGTATTATTTTATTATTTATATGTATATCAAGAAGATAAATAATATAAGCAGCATTATATATTAAAATCATTACTATACTTTCTATCATCACTATTCTTTTTATCAACACTATCCTTTCTATCATCACTATTCTTTGCTTTAACTTTTCTCCGTCCGTGAGCTTGATGCGGAAGAACGATCGTATCCACAAGCCGCCGAGTAGTGCACTGGACAAAAGCTGTGCAGAGTACATTGCGCAACTTTTTTCAGTTACAATATCTTATAGAGCCAGATCAAAATTATAAGTGTTTTTTTCGCCCCTTTTCTGGACCTCTAATTTTGAAGCAAATTTTGTGCCAAATGATTAGTCATGATGAGACAATAATCGCATAACATTTTTGAGTTAAGCATATGACTGGTTTGCGAAATATAGGGGGTCAAAGTTGTACCTATTCTTTGAGAATGTTTGACACTATTGTGTTTTTATTGTCCTAATATTCATGTTAAAAAATAGTTCCGACGATATTTTATTATTTTTTGGGTAGCTGGCTACGAATCTGAAATCTAAATTCCAAAATTCAAAATGGCGGATCCAATATGGCTGCTCGATATTGCAAAATTCAAATTAATCTGAATGAATATTGCTTCTCGGGGATCTTTTAGATTGCTGATTATGAATCTAAAGTATGAATTCCAAAATTCAAAATAAAGTCATGGGAGAATCATGAAATTTTGTTTCCGGAAGTCAGGGAAAAGTCATGAAATTTTAGAATGAAGAAATTATGGCAACCCTATCTTCACAATCAATCGTATCATGTTTCGTTATATAGGGCAGGCGGTCCGTCCTGAAGGACTGCTGCTCGATCGAGGTCGTGCCGTCCTTTACTCGTTTCGCTGGCAGTCCGGCGACGTGCGTTGAAGAG